CGTAAGTATTGATTTTGCCAACGGCTCATAATGCAAAGAATAATAAAAATTATAATATTCTTTGCGTTATTTTACCAATACATCAAACATTTGTTAGGCGCACGTCTTTTTCTTTTTTCTTCTTTTTGTTTTAACTTTATTTTCCGTTGAATTTCTCTGTTATGTCTTATATATATTCACTATTTATATGATACACATGTCAATACGTACGTAATGAAAACGCTATCACGGATTGGACGGATTTCGACTTATTTCTATCCACATTTTAATTAAGTGCGAAAATTTTTACCCACTTTGTCAAAGAGTGCGTAACACTACCCAAACTCTTTATAATTTATATTTTGTACCCAAACTAATTAAACTAGGCATATTTATTCCTCATAAATTACGGTGTTAAATTCTCCGTTAATAGTGCTGAGTAGGCATCTTATTCACGAAAACAGAGTTTATGACTCAGATTTATGTTTTTTTTTCAAGATATGAAACGACGTCGTTTCATGTTTTGTTTAAGAAAAAAAAAAACATAAAAATCTAAATGAGTCAGATCTTGAGTTCGAGAGTTTCAGAGAATCAATCCGCTTCTGGTCAAACCACGAGCAGTAGCTTTTCTTGTTTCATCCTCTATCCGCTTCTCACTTCTCTTCCAAATTATTCATTTCTTCTCTATTGTCTTCTTCAAAGCTCTATGCACTCTCAATTTCATCTTCTTCACTTTCATTTGACCTCCTTATGCGTACGCTCATCTCTCTCAGATGCCGCTCTCGACACCGTTAAACAATGCGAGCTTCGAAGCCTGTGATTCGAGATCTAGAGATAGGTATGATTTCATGGGTTTCGGATGGTGGGTTAGATAAATTGAGGTCAAAGATAATGGCAAACAAGAAGAAATCGTTGGCAAAGAACATAAATGGACGATTCCCTTTTTATTTTGTGAGTACATGATAAACGGTGATGACAATTTTGATTTCTAATCAAGGCTAATTGAAGTTGTATACTGCAATTAGCCTTGTCTTGTATGTTTCTCAAACATCTATTTATAGAATATGTTTCTTTTGTAATATGATATTCAATCAATTTCTTTGATTTGATTGTTAGAACTTTACATCGAATATGATTTTCTTTTTATTTAATCGAAACTAAACTTGATCAATAGAAGAATTCTCTCTATTTAATCGAAACCAAAATTGACAAATAAAATAATC